ACGCACAGAATAAGTTGTAATACTAGGTACTTAAAGAAGAAGTCTCACTAAAAATATTAGTGGATCAAGTGCATGTAGCACTAGGTCTCGTTCAAATCCATCCCATTGTGAAGCAGCATGGTCAGACATTTTACCCACCGGGGTTGACAGAGCTCAGCCTATCTAGGCACTCTTTTTGCTTAAACATCTTAAGCTGGCCCTACACTGTATGAATTTCAGCTGGTTCATTAGGAACATGCCAAAATTCATTCAGCGGGTGGCTGTGTCGGCAGTCTTCCATCTGGTATCCTTCAATCAAAAAAATCAAAGGAGCCAGTTGGAACATTTTTGGGTGAACAGTGACAGCAGCCAATCAGGTATTCTGACACCGACACACCTGCCAGTGTGAAAATACAACAGCCCAGTGGGCGATTCTTCCATTCATGCTGTGTGGAAGGAGGAATCAGTTTTATTTATTTTTTGTTCAGTCAGTCGTTCAAACTAAAAAATATAACTGGGAATGGCTAGCTTTACTGTAGCTCTAAAGGGAGACATAGTGCAGAGAGATGCTGACAATGCTGCTATAAATTCTTCAGAAGTCTTATAGCATTGTTGTCCCTCCATTACTAAGCCCTAAATCTGATCTGTCCACCTCTTCCAACCACATGTAATACTATAGTTGCCATGACGGGCAATATTAATTTACTGCTGATACAGTGCATCTGCTACACATGCATCTGCTGCCAAACTAAAAAAAAAATGATCCCAAAAGTCATCTTGGTTTGCTTGACCTACCAAAATACAGGAAAACCAAAATATGGAAGGGGGACTAATTACAAAGACCAAGTGAAAAAAGCAAAGAAAACCCTAAAATGACATTGACGTGCTAGTATGGACAGCATATGATAATAGATCTATAAATCCCAGCATGCTCTGCTCACATCTGGACAGGGGAATGGAATAAATATATGGAAGACACTTCTCAAAGCAAATGTATTTTTGAACAGTCCAAGTAAAATCCAAACAGACATGAAACAGAGATTTATTTTCTAAATAAAAGATAAAAAAAAACAACAAACAAACTAAAAACTGCAAACATTTCACTCTACAACTCTACAACTGTAACAAAAAACCCACATTTCTGAAGTCTTCATAATCCTACAGACGGTTTTCCTCAGACCCAACAAATGTGCTGCCAAAACACTAAGACGCATGGGATATGGAAAGCAATTCATAGCTAAAATTATGACTCTGAGGACAGACAGGGAGTTTTGCTCAATTTTTATTGGCAAGAAGATATTTTCTTGTATGAATGTTCGTGCTGCCACAACAAGCAAAAGCAAGACCATCTGGCTTCCTTGTCCTTGGGAACTCGGTGCGCCGATTTATTTAGCGCAATGGTGACAGGTCCAGAAGTCAATATATAATATATAAACATTAACCCACGTGTTCTCCCTACCTGACCAGAAAACCTACAACTCTAAGTTGTCTGCCAGAAATAAGTTATAGGATATGTTGAATTAAAGCTGAACTAAAGGCGGATATAAAGAGTCAAATTAATGCAGCTCTAGCAATATCATAACATAAATGTATGCCCTTTTTTTAACAGGTTGGCTCACCTTTGCAATACAATGCACTATGCAGTCAAGTGCCCTGAACTTTTTAGAACTTTGTGTAGCTTTAAAATTTGTAGTTTAATTTAATTGCAATACCTGTATGTCCATCGCAATTTACCCACAGCCTGGCTGAAAAACTACTACTGGGAGTAATCAGCGCTGTTGGATGCGCCCCCAGAATTCCTGGAACAAGCACTCTCCCTCTTTTAAGACCTGTGCATGAGCAGTGCATTTTCCATCGTGTGCTGCAGCAGCACTGAGCTCAACCGCTGCAATGACAGAGGAAGCAATATGCATGTGCAGGTTTTGAAAGAGGGAGAGTGGTCATGTCAGTGATGCTGGGGGCACATCCAATGTATGTGGTATTTCATATAACATGTAAGATGGCGCTGATCACTCATAGTAGTATTTTATCAAGCAGGCTGTGGATAAATCATGATGGGCCTACAGGTATTGCAATAAAATTACCTATAAATTTTAAAGAACAACTCCTGAGTAACGTTTTAATAACCCTTGCAATGGGACTACGCCCATACTGCACTGGTTAACTGCTCGTTTTTGTCTAGGTGCTAAAAAAAAGTTATACTCACCCGAACTGCCAAGCCGAGCCGACTCCCTGCTTCTCCGGTCACTGAATGCAGTTCTAGCAATATCTTAACATCAGTTTATGCCCCTTTTTAAATAGGGTGGCTCCCCTTTGCAATACGTCAGGTCTATATACTTGTATAGAACATGATGGCATAAGGATTCATAGTCCACTGCAGAGGAGGGGGTGAGAGGCTCTAGAGTAAGCTGGCTCCGAATGATCAGGCGAGTATAAATTTAGCACCTAGACACAAATGAGTAGTTAACCCTTGTAGTGTGTGTGGGGGGGGGGTGCAGCCGCACTCAAGGGTTAATACAAATGTTCCCTTTAACGCTACAAGCTACACGGTGTTTTTAAAAGTACAGGGCACCCTTGACTGCACAGTAAATTTTATTGCAAAGTTGAGCCAAACCTTTAAACACAGCCATGTGTAATTACTACCTAGTTATTTCATCTGTGTATTTAGTTGTACTTCTGGAGTTTAACTTTAAAACGTATATAAACTCAACATTTAAAAAAAACTTTAGCATGTGTCATGGAATCATGTCTCACTGCATACAATGTTCTTAAGCAAATTGTTCCCTACTTTTGCAGGCTGACAAACCTAAGTTGTTGCCTAAAGGTGCCCATACACTGTGCGATTCTCCCGCGATCGTACGATAAGCGCAAAGTGTATGGAAGGCGTGCGACCGTTCTTACTGTGTGGTCGCACGTCTTTTGTCTAAGGAGCATGTTCCAAAACCAGCCGAAAATCTTACGATTTTCGTCTGGTTTGTGGCATGCTCGGGGGGCGGACTTGCGATGATCGCAAGTACAATCTGCCTGTCCAAGATGGGCAGATCGTACGTTTTTTTTATTACTTTACAACCAGCGCAAGACTAAGGTCTTGCGCTGGTTGTAAAGTGTATGGCCACCTTTACAATCAGCAGCAGTGTTGTCAGCCTGTGTGTGAGAGCTCCTTCACCTGGCCTTTGAGCTGCCTATCAGATAAACCAATCAGCCCAATAGTGAGCTGAAGAAGCTCGCACGGTAGGCTGAACATGCTACTGCTAATTGCGCAGCAGTGGTATAGTTTTGTCAGCCTGCAACAGAAAGTGCTATTACTGAAAGGATGCCAGGTAAGCAACAGAATCACCAAAAACAATTTGCTTAAGAATACTGCATACATTAAGACATTATGCCAGACATACCAAGAAATTGTATTTGGATTTACATACATTTTAAAAGATCGGCTAAGAACATGTGTGTCTTCTACAGATGATTTGTTTACAACTACTGAATAAAATGTTAATTTTCTGGTCAAAGAGATTACAATAGCAAAAGTTCAAACACAGAGAGAAACGACTGTAATGAAAAGCCAGGCAAAGTATTAACATCTGCAATGACAATGTTACATTTGACTGGTAAAAGTCACCACTGTGAGCAAGCAGAACACCCCCACCATTTGCATGATATTTACTAAGGAAATGAGCACTCAAACATAATTGCTGCTTGTAAGGCCAACAGAGATCTTTTCATCACATGGAATACAAATCTGATTACAAAGTGTTTAAACCATCCAGTGACTTGTGCAGGTGCAGAGATTGTTGAATGATAAGAATCAGTATAAGCAATCTTATAACAACCCTAACATGTATGCAACATGAACAGCCACAGCAGGCAACCTTGGGTGACCTGCACCATCACAGCATTAGGTTCAGACTGTTAAATGCTATGGGCCTTAGGCATTGACATGTTCTTACCAATAGCTGGAGTTATATACCCCAAGCCACCGGATTCAAACTTCCAGGGCAAGTCTTTATGCTGACTGATGGCAGAGAAGACTTACAGTGACACTAAACTCAGGAGTTGAAAAAAAAATGAAAGAACTTAACTATTATCAAAAATGTATCTTATTTGTGTATCATTCAGCTGTACATCCATAAATAATCTCTGAATTGGTGCTGACACTGTCCTTCCTTCTGTAAGGTGACTACTTTTGTTCCCCATGGTATACAACACACACAGGGACCATGGGGAACAAAAGCAGCCACCCTCCAGAAGGAATGACTGTCAGCACCAATTCAGAGATAATTTGAGGATCTACAGCCGAGTGATACACAAATAAGATACATTTTTGCTAATAATTAAGTACTTAAATGTATTTTTAAGATTTAATTCTTGAGTTTAGTGTAACTTTGATGCCAGTTCTTTGTAAGAACACACTAATACATAGTCTCTGTATCTGTTGTCTGAAAGGCAGTTAAGTTGGAGCTCCCCCCAACCTGTACTGTGATGACTGTTTAAGAGGGGATCCCCTTACTTTGGAGGGATTTCCTCTTACTACCTTTTGTGTCTCTGGGACAGGAAGTGAAAATAAATCACCTGTAAGGAACACAGACTCAAAAAATAGGAGGAGTTTTATTCACTTACCACTCTATCCGAAGCTAAAATGGTTTCAAATGCACTTTAAATAATTTTAGGAAAGAGACACTTGCTACTTAATTAATGTGATCATTTTTCTTGCATACAAAAAGACTAGCTGAAGACTTCAGCGCTCATCTAGCACAGGTATGAAATTAATGTCATATCTCATTGGTTACTTTTAGCACCCCCTCCACATTTGGTTGCTTCAGTTTTGACTAATGTGCCCCACTGTGTTCACATTGATTAGCATTGATTGATATTCAATAAAGTACAGGATACTCTTCTCTAAAAAGTATTTTGGTATATGCACCTTAATATTTGTATTCTTTATTCAATCGTTACTGAAAAGTTATTTAACATTTCAAAAAAAAAAAAAAAAGACTTTAAGCTTTATAGGCAGATCTTCTACTTACATATTCTTTCACATTTTTCGTCTTCACGGCCTTGTAAGAGTTATATGCAGGGTACAGCATACCAAACACCAGCCTACAGAAGGGAAGAAAAGGACAATGTTAGGTACAGCATATACATTGCAGTAGTATTAAACCTTCCTAATAGAAGATAGCTCTCTATGTAAATCAATGTATTATCAGGCGCAGCTCTGCTTCTAACTTCTGGTTGGGGGGTGTGCCGGATAATGATGGGAGCCACTGCAGAAATGGAAGCCATGTTTAGAAAATAAAAAGTTACTGTACTGAAAGAAATAACCTGTCAGCAAAAAAGTTTGAACTGAGAAGACAACATGTAGGTGTCGCCATGTCATCAATCAAGTTCAATAGAGTTGCACAGATACCAAGTACAGTACTCGATACAAGTACGAGTACATGTACCGATACTTTTGAGCTCCAAGACTAGACTAGAGAAAAATTCAAAAATTAGGAGGCAGCTGTCATTTGTAAGGAGCACACAGAGCTCCTGGGATTTGTACATCTTTGTTTTAATGTACGATTTTGTTTTTATAAATATAAAGTGATGCACAGATACCAGTTTTGCGAGTACGAGTACTGGTACTTGCCGAGTACTTACAAGTACGAGTACTGATACTTTGTTTATTGTCATGTGACAGTTTTTCTAAAACAATACAGACTAATGATTTCAGGACAGTGATGGAGTGCCAGAGCCAGGTCCCAGCTGCAACCACTGCAACCCTGGTAGTTCTCATGAAAATGCCAAGTATCTGCACTGGTACTCGAAAAGTATCTGTGCATCCCTAAAGTTCAATAATGTACATACAGTACAGTTAAAAAACTGTGCCTAATGTAACATTTAGTCATTTTTTGTAATAGCATGGACAAATCCTGTGCATGATGTTGCAACAATTCTCAGAGACATGTGATTTTGACCCAGGATGGGTAGGCTTCTCATTTCCCTGATGTTCTCAGTGAGAGTTGTACCCAGATGTGGCATTTCTTAAAGTGTATCAGAAGTAAAAACTTTTTTCTTTGTATTTGAGATGGAAATGATTATAAACCAATAATTTTTTTGGCTGTCTGTGTTCCTGCTGGCAAGACTCACCCTCTCTGTTTGTCCAAGTAACCAGTCACCAGGACATAAAGTGAGAGACAATCCAAACATTTTAGTTGTCAGTGGAACGAGAATAGATGGAAGATCTTCCAATGGGGACACTTGCTTCAGTGACAACTGTCTAAGAGTGGATTTACCTCAATTTGGCCAAGATCTCCTCTTATTTTCTGATGTGTTTATGGGACCAGAAGTAAAGGGGATTCTCCCTAATAGGACACAGAAAGCAAAAAAGTCTGAGAAGGGTTTTACCCCATTCCTGCTCTATCCAAATCTAAAGGGTTTGAGATAAAAAGGATAAGGACATGCTTGTTAGCAAATTGGGCTCCGAAACAGAGCAGAAGCTAGATCTACACAATAAAAAAAATAGTTTGTTTGTGAACAAAGTGCTACTAAATCCATCACATCTGCCCAATGCCAGAGAACTGGTTACCTTCAGTGAGACACGGCCAGGCCCCTAAATGAAGCTACAGGAAGCAGACATAAATCTGAGAATAAAGCTGGCCATACAATGCTTGAATTTCTACTGATTCTTGCTGAACATCCCACTCTTAATCCCCTTGACTTAATGAGCATCTAACCCTGGCGGAGGGAAGGTGGCACTGCAAGAGCATTTTTTCTAATGCCTAGAGTTGGGATTTACATTATTTTTGATGGCATTATATTTATCTGTGAATGAGTTGGGGAGATTTTCTGTCTTTTCCACCCTTAACATTTGCCGGGTATAATTTAAACCAGAAAACAGAGAACATTTGCAGAGAAAACAATTCCAAATTTAATTACGTATTGCACTCTGAGTAGTTTTTTTTTATCATGCATTGGAGCTCATTTTAATTTAAAAAATTCAGGGTTAAAAGCAAAAACAATAGTTTCACATTAAACAGAGCTGTTCTGAAAGAGAAAACAAGTCCATCTAATGTATTGGTATTTTTTCTCCTCTTAAATGCTTTGATTTATAGATCCCCAGTACTGAAAAGGAGAAGGAAAAGTCACAGTCACACTTTGAGCCACCACCAGACTTGCCAGACCAGGAAGGAAGGAAATGGCTATAATCTGAATCGTAAAACCTTGTTTTTCAGCGCTCTGAAGTATATTCACCACATAAGGATCGAACATGAAACCAAGCTACACTGTGAATATACTACAATGCACTGCAAATCATTACTGGGAATGTTAGCTGAACATCTTACTGTAGTCAGACAATAGCTGTGCATGGATTTGATATACCGACTGGAACAAAGCAACTTTTTTTTTTAATCTAGAAGCTGGTTTCAGCTGAATCTAATTTATTATGTTCCGCACTGTGAGATTTATGGCTGGTCTTGCTTAGCCATGTCTGGCAGTAAAATGCCCTGCTTTCAGCTTCCCGGCTGCACACAGCAATTAATGTAGCATTCTTCCACTGCAGCATAACCTTAAAAAACCTTGACAGCGTGTTCTTACAGAAATGTGCAGGGAATTGGTTTCTAGAGCGTCACTTTTATAAATGACTCAAGGCTAACACATTTATGATTGTTCTTCATGGAAATGCGTTATGGTACAATAAAAAAGCGAATTTTTTTTGCAATAATTCAGATTTATATTAATGTGATATTAATATTGGTGTCTGGAGAGTGAGAGGGAATAGAATCTTGTTCTGACACCTGGGAGGCAGTCAGAGACTTGTCAGTGTTCAGCAGGACTGGTGATTAAAGTGGGATGGGTGCCAACACGATTACTGGATGGGTTAGGCCAGTGGGGGGGTCAATTTTCTTAACATGGGGTTCTCAAGTGCGGACCCAGACCCCAGCTCCGCATATAATATTCACTGAATGTGAAAATATCTGATATTTCTCTCAGCAAAATCCACTACTAGTGGATATGAGGAAGGGAAAAAAAACATATGGAGAAGAATGGACAGCACGGAAAAAAAATAAACCAAAACTTTTTTTAACCCGGTATGAAGAAAAAACATTTCCTTCACTGATTTGATTGATTAAGCACCCAGGCAGGGGACCAAGGACTACACAATAGGTGGCAAAGGGCCACAGGATGGGCACCAGGGGATTGGAATTATGTAGAGCCTATCTGATAGTTGACATAAAGTATGTAGATGTTAAGTTATATATAAACTAACATTTAATGAACACATTAGCTGTCTTACTGTAAATGAAAGTCCATGGTTAGGTCAAACAGGTAAATGGAAACGTCGAATGGTACAGACATTGGTTGTCCAGTACTCTCGTTCCTTGTAATCTGTACTGTTAGCTGGCTCTACGGTTTACAACTGTGATGTAAACAGATATGTGAAAAAAAGAATCCCAGCACCCCAAAATGCAAAGAAAATATTGTTTATTGCAAATAGCGTCACACAGCTAAAAATTGCCAATGTTTTAGGGCCATGCAGGGTCCCTTTCTCAAGGCAACACAGTGTTACATTCCGGAGGTCACTGTCTTGCCTTGCCTCAATACATTGGCTATTTTGACCTATGTGACATTATTTGCAATAAACAATATTGTCTTTGAATTTTTTTTGAGTGCTGGTGACTTATCTTTACATCTCTGATGTTCTATTGGCACCATCCGTGGCGGTCACTAAGAGCACCTATCTTATCTACACTGGTCACAACGCTGTATGGTGTGTTGGTCACTAAGAGCACCTATCTTATCTACACTGGCCACAACTCTCTATGGTGTGCAGCGGGCACTTTCAAGAATTATATAAACTGGACACTAGAGGCTAGCCTTCTGGAGTCCCTATCCTGCACCCAGTCCCAGTGACACAATAATTTCTGTAGAGTCCACTTTTTGTAAGATGATAGCACAGTACATATTGTTTTTTAATAGGTGCATTTGTTTATATACATTGTATATTTACAGGATCTGCTAAACAACACCACACATAAAAGGAAATATATCCCACACAGGAAAGAGTCGGGTCTTGTTGCCTCCTATGTTGTGCATCATTTTGTTCCTTTTCTCTAATGAAACACATTTGTGAAATATATGTTTGTTCTAAAGTAATAAAATCCTCCAAAAAGTCTGGGTAATGCTATGCAGAACACGGCTTTATACGTCCTTCAAATGCTTATGTTTTTAGAAGAGGATTAACTCAAAGTCTCTTTATTGGTTCTATGTACTCTATTGCAACTGCTCCCAGTGACTAGCTCTTTTTATTTCCATCCATACAATTATTCTATTGTATGCTCTATTCAATTCATAATTAATAAACATGGTTAATCCCTTAGCAGCAGTCATGTAAGACTCTGGGTAAAGGTTCTGCTTACTGCAAGCTTCACATAGAAAAACACAGAAGAAGAATATCATGCAAACCTAAAAAAACAGGATATTTATTATTTACGCCACTCTCCCCTCAGGGCTAACTAACAAACATATGAAAGCACACCACAGATGCACACACACATACACAAGATACAAAATGAACACTATGTGAGAGTGACATGTGGAAGCATTAAATAGGCATAAACTGAGGCAGTAAAGTGTATACTCCAGGCAAATATGTAAAGAAAACACCCTTTAATTCAGGGTTATTGTAAAAAAAAAATGCATTTAAAAATTACCTGAATCCTTTTTTATTTAAACTTCCTTAAATGATTAACTTCCTAAAAATTGAGCAGCAACACTTAAAGCAAACCTATACTTTGCCCATTCCAACTAAATAACAGGTTTGATAGGTAGAAATGGAAAGGAGCCTCTACCTTCCTTCCCCACACTCCTCTGTCATTATGGTTGCATTTCCAACACCCCTAAGAATTGCTGTGTATGTACCAATTATACACAGGGCTAGGACCCTACCTTCTGCATGACAGTGCTCAGGCCTGACACATTGGCTCCTAAAGCACCAAGTGATGCAAAGGAAAGAAGCAAAGCAGAAATTGACATGCTCCTGAACACAGAAAATAATAGGTCGCTGTTCGCCCGTACCCTGACCCACACTCCCCGCCTTAGCCTATCCCAGTTAATGT